TTAAAGGCATGAATTGAAACATGAAAGGATCAATGGAAAAGAACAGAGCAAATATATTTAATGTATAAAATGATAGCCTTTGAACCAGCCATAATCACCTACAGAGCAATCTTAGAGCTAATGACAGAGTTTAATGATCACAGATCAAGAAAGCAAATAAAGTATTGGGAATTATTGGGAAATAAATTTATGCAGGCACGTAAATCTATGATATGGCCAATCTTAAGAGCTGTGTTCTGGTTTCCTCCTCTCAAAAAAAGAGACAGGAATCAGGACTGGCAAATGTTATGAGGAAACCAACATGGATACACCATGGCATGGAACAATCAGAAAGGACTAAGTAAGCAAGAACTCTTCAGCATGGAAAAGAGGTAACTTGAAGAGGGTAGGAGAAACATCAAGGGAGGTGTGAAATGAACAATGGGCTTCATCACATTTGCAATACAAGAACCAGAAAGCATCAAATAAAGACAGTAAAGGCCAAATTCGAAATAGGCAAAAGGAACTGCTTGCTATGCGATTCTGTGTCAATGGACCTTTAACACATTAAAAGTTTATGTGGGGTAGAAAAGAGACTGTAGAATTTCATAGAAAAGAAGTCAGTTGAGGTTTATTTCATACAGAGCTGGCTGAGGGTGTTTCCAAACTGGAAAGAGCTGGAGGTTTGGTAAGTACAAACAGGAAGTATCATACATGCCTATTCCATTCTTACTGCTCTCCAGACATCTGAATCTCATCACTGCCAAGTATCAAGAGCAGACTGGATGAACTGTTCATGTGATCCAATATAATTATTATTTTGTTGAACAGGCAATTACTGCATCCTGCAATGTCTGATTCTTAAACAAATGCTTCCCAGTTTCAAAATTAGGATACACTAAAGTGTAAGGGGACCTTTCTATACAACAGACATAAGATTGCTTCTATACAAATACCCTGTGTTTGTGCTCTTAGGATTGAAAATAGGCTCCTAACTGATAAAACATTACATGGAAGCTAGCAGGGCCCCAAAATACCACCTAAGCTCAGGGAGTGCCTGACTTATTGACAGAAGCTATTGTCCTATTTAGGCAATGTCCCTGTTCCAAAAGCATTGCCTGCTTGTGACTTGTGACATTAACCACAGCCTGAGAAAGTAACTCTTTATGCAGTTTATCTGGGAAGTTTAGAGATGATAATGATGTGGGAAAGTGGAACAGAACCCTGCTAAAATTCTTGAGATGGGCAAAAGTCTACAATGCTGACTAGAAACAGAATCATGCAAAGCTTATCCTGGAAGATAGAGGCTCTACAAAAACACTTCTGACAGTTTTGACAGCATGTGGCAGTCACCAAGGATTTTTTTTGCTACTCCACACAAGTAAGGTCCAAAGCCAACCATGAACACATATTTCAGATGTGTGTAAAAGCCCAGTTGACTTCCCCAGTCCTATACTTAAGATTCAGCTTTTCCAGTCTTCTGTATTCCCTACCTAAGACTATGATGCATGGCATTATCAAGTCTTGCCAATTCAATTTCCCTAGAAGTCTGTCTCACAGAGTTGAATCATTATTCTTCCATTCCTTCTGACTCTTTCTGACCCAAGAGAGAAAATGAGCTAAGGAAAAAAGGTAAAAGAGCTGTAACTGTAATGTGGAACAAAGGACAGAGACTATTTGGGTTGCAACTGTGGAATTCAATGTGTGGTGTGGGTACAAGTCGTTAATCCTATTGCCAGTGCTCCCAATTTGACTTTCACAGTACTTAATACTTATGTTTAAAGTCACAGTTATGATAGTCCTTGAGAAAGTCTGAATGCTGCTTTTCCTCTATTTTTTCCCCTGTATGTTTCTAGCTGCTATGACTCCAAGTAAAAAATCTGATCCCACAAAATTTGCAACCTGAGAACTCAGAAAAACACATGCACACACAGACACACACACTTCCTTTCTTCACAACTGACACTGTGGTGTCAGTTTTTAGTCCTGAAGATTTTTAATGCTTTAATAATGATGGTTTTTCCTTCTCTTTGATTCTTCCCACAACAGACAATTTTACTCTCACTGGTGTTACTTCATTTCTTTTCAACACATGCCAACTCACACTGTAACTCACTAGCTGTTGGCATTTAAAAAAAAAGATTAGTAGTGCCAACTACACCTCAGGAAAAACATTTGCACTCCTCACAGCTCAAGTGTTTATTATATACTACAGAAAAAGTGGTGCATTACATTATCTATGTCCCTCTTTTTGTTTCTGCAGGGCTTCACTAAGCTGACAACTGACAATTGCATGCTTGTTTCAAAACTGCAGTAGGAAATGATTATTCTGAAGGCATTGCATATATAATCAACACAATGTAAAAGCTAAGGTTTTTTTGATACACAAGGTATTTCTTTGCTCATTTGTATTTTGATAAAACAACTGACAATTTAACACAAAATGCAATGCTCACCTTGTGAAAAAAGATGTATTTTAGGACCACTTAATACACAAATGAAAAGCTAAATTCTGAATACTAAATAACAAATAATTTGAGGTAGATATGAACCTACAGTTCATTACAACACAAAGCTATTATCTCAGAAACCTAGGAGAGCTACCCTTAAAATGACAGATTAAATTTAGGAGAAAGGTGCTATTTAATTAAAGATCCTTATTCTCAGTTCCATAATTTGTTGAGGTTTTAATACAATGGTCACAAGGAAGAACAACTATAAATCTAGGAAAATATAATGCCAATGACATTTTTCATGTTTTTTATGTAATATTTACATAGCATTTTACTAAAGCGTCTTTGAAGACTAAACTATGCAAGAGCAGCCTGAACCTAGAAATACTCAGATATGCTACAGAATTGTTAATCAGCAGATTACTTAGAAGAGGAGAAACAATTTAATCTTTGTTCCTCTTCCATGTGCATTATCACAGAAAACAGGGATGCTGGTAAACAGGAAAGGAACAAATTATTTTTGTATTTGGCAAGAGAAAGAATATTGTTCAGCATAGCCAATCTAGTTACCTTCATTAAGTCCCTTCAATGCTAGCAGCACAAAAGACCTCCTTCCAACACATCTCCAAGAATTACTAGCCCTGGGATAAATTGTATAGGATAAATAAATTATCTTAAACTAGATGCTGGACCAGTCAAGAAAGTTGCTTGCTTTTAAGACTGATCTTAATGAAATTTAATATTCTATGTTTTGAAACCTTGTTCCACCTTTGGGCATTTATACTTTAGGTAAAAATTATTTTCTTCTTAAAACTTACCTGCCAATAGAGCTGAGTAATTTGTCCTACATATGGCACTCCACTCTTACCAATGCATCAATGTGTAAGACTGGGATCCTGCACCAAACTCTGAGAACCCAGTGCTTCAGTAAATATAAATCAATGTGATACAGCAGGACAACAGAACGCCACCCCTAGAGTTCTAATAAAGCTGGCAGCAATTATACTCAGAATTCTACTCCATGATACGAGGCATTTTGACAAACATTTATTTCTACATGAACATCCCAAATGTGGTACTCCAGGCATGTGGTTTTCTCTGGTAAAGGAGCGATACATTTTGATATCTTACACAGTTAAAGAGTATGGGAAGCTGAGTGAAGATAAAAAGATAATGGTATGGAAGTTACAGGGAAAAATACAGTTGTACTCCCTGGATGAAACATGGTCAGCATGTCTGACCTCCCACACACTATGCAATCTAAGGAGGACCCAACAGAGGGTGGAGCAGAGTGGAGACACCATGGCCAGGCACTGTGTTGAAACCCTTGCAGAGGAGGGAACTCAGTGGTACTTTCTAGTTGATAAGCCCCATAGCAGCTGAAAACCAAGAGAGATAAAGGAAAATGTCTTGCTCTTGAATCAGCAACTGTTATGAAATCATTCTACTTGAACTAACACATGTCCCCATCCCAAGGTTATCCTGGGTACTATCCCAAGATATCCACCCCTCACTGATTAAGAGGTATGACCACAACCACTCAAGTTCCACCTAAACATAGAGAAATAGTATAAAAATTAGTTAATAATGGGGAGAAATGGGGGAAGACTCCATTGTAACTTCTGGGATCAGTTGACAAGCTGAACCTGTCTTCTCCCTCACAGGGATGCCTACTGTGTAAGAAACATTATCTCTACATGCTGATTGATTGTCTCAGACCAGCTTTTATTTGGGATTAGAGCTTGTTAATACATTGCTTTAAATTAGTATATTGCTTTGAATATATTTTTGCAGTCTGATACTATTCGTGTCAAGTCTCAAACCTTAACCTTTCACAAGTCTATTAATAAAGAGTACTATTCTGCAAACTGTTAATGCAAGTCCTTCAAGGGCACTGCCCATTGTCTGCAGCAGGTGAAGGAGGAGACCCAAGAGGAGGTTTCTCTGTCAGATGTGTGACCCTGAATAAGTCAGTGGAACAGATCCAGTGGGACTGCTTAGTGAAGGGTCCCACAATGGGACACTGACAGACTGGTTGGGCACGAGGTTCACCGTTTTCCTGGGGCTCTTACAGACTAATCACACACAAAGGGTTTGAGTAAATCTCCCCTTTTTACATGATAGCAAGGAACATATTTTCCTCTGCTTTCATTGCTTAGCTCATTTCAACATTGCTTAGCTCTAGAGAAGTCACACTTCCTTTGAAAGTAAGGAGGACAGGAGAACTATCAACAAGAGACAAGACACTGAGAGCCAACAATTTCCTACTATTAAATATTCAGATACCTTTTGCTTTAAAAAATAGTTCTTAAACCAAGGGAAACAGGTACTATAAGGACTGTTTCTACACATGGATACACAAGTTAATCAACTGTCCTCTGTACTTCTTTGAATTTTTAATCTAAATTATTTCATTACAATTATTTACTGCTTAGAAATACTGTCAACCATTTCCAATTTTTATTTGGTAAATACATAAAAGTAGGTCACTGAAAACAAGCTTATACACAATAATACACAGACACATCAGAGGATTAATATATAAAAATCAAGAGATGAAAAACTGACCTGCTGCTTCTGGTATTTGTTTAGTAGGGCTAAAAATAAGATGTAACATCTGGAGCAGTCTGCTAAAGCTGCACAGAAGTCACTGTAGGTAGAAAGTTTGCTATAAAGAAAAAAAATAAAATATATATGAACAAAAGGACTTTTTTCCACAGAACATTTTTTTAGAAAGTCACTTTTGACTCTCAGAGCTGTATTTTCCAACAAATGAAGTGAATGCCAATGCTCTGACTTCTCGTAGAGGCATGTGCAGTTATGCAAGAGCACAAGAGAAGCCTAGCTATCCTTGCCACAGTGAATTACGGGAAGAACCAAACATGGGCTTTCCAACCTGCCTGCCATATGGACACAGTATGCCAACACCAGCACTTCTTAGTGCTAAATGGGAGAACTGGAATTTCAAGATGATGTGGGAAGTCAGATGAGAGGAAATAAAAGGTGCCCTCCAAGTGCACATCTAGTAGAGCCCAGCAACAGCACTAACACAACACATCTCTCACCAGCAAATACAGAGAATGTGCCTCCTTGCAAGCAGGATTTATCTCTGCACATTTCTAACAGCTGCTCCAGTCCTACACTGCTCACCTTGACCACTGCCAAAACAGGGAACTGAACGTGCTTTGGTCACATCAGAAAAATGCAATAACAGAACAAGCTAGGATAACATCTTATTTCTCATGTAGTAAAAACCAGAAAAGATCTGTGTTGATGTTCAATTACAACTAATTACAGGAAGATTTATAGTCTTATTGAATGAATATTCTGAATAGATTGAACATACTCTCTATAAAGAAGCTGCTTGAAATTGATTGAGAGAATAATCATTCTGTATTACTAAAAGACAAAACAAAATTCAAATCTGAGCTCTGTAATGCATAGTATATATATTTTTTTTTTTTAGTGATTGCAATTTCCAAGAAGCTAATTAAATTGATTTTATGGCTAATTTGTATTCTTGGAGCATGCAGTTCTAATCTTAAGGAAAAAAAAATTGAAGCAGTAGGGAACTTTAAGTAAGGTAAGTTATTTTTTTTCCATATTGAATTCTGTATCAAGTAAATGTCCTTATCAGAATTACAGTGTAAGTATCTATTACACTTAATTACAACCCCATTATGCCACTTGCCATGGCATTTTCCAAATGAAAGAAATGTTCCCTCCTCAGACGAAGTAAATATGCTCAAAGTGCTGTGATCATTGCTAGAGCTCATTTTTGTTGTAGGAACACAACTAGAGACAGATGTGAACGAGGTAGCATGAAATTGGGTAGCACATGCTTTACAGGTAGCACAAACAGCAAAGAAGCAGATTTGCCTGGCTTCAGCTGTGGGGGAGGAAGGAATGCCATCCCCTTATGTAGCCATTGTTCAAAGCACAACTCAAACTCATCCAGAAAGGAGAATGTGATGGATAATTTGGAGGAGCTGAAGAGAAGTCCATAACAGAACCTCACTGAACACAGAGTTACAGGCAACATGACTTAATGCAGGAACAGAGCAGAAATGGCAAATACTTCATCCAGCACATCAATCATAAACTGTGTTTATAATCCAACTACTCCTGAAATTACCAACAGCTGATTTCACAACTTCTTCAAAATCCTTTCATTGTTTGCAAGTCCATTTAGCACTGAATACTGCAAGCTGATGCTTAGTAACTGGAAGGCTTTTGACTAGAAACTATTCAGACTACAAAATTATCGTTTTGGTGGCTAACTCATACCGATCTCCTGCTAAAAAGTACAACTTGGGAAGCAGCCGTTGGCTGCTCATAAAACTGAGATTCTTTCAGCACTTCCATCTGCACACTCAAGCCCTGATCCCAGAGATTAATCTCCTCAAACACTGTGTAACAGCTCAAAACAATGAACACTGATCATATTTTCTCTCTTGTGTGTTTTAATTCACAATACACAGTTCTTTGTGTAATTTCTCTCATTTCTTTCAAACATGGCCAAAACCAGGATTAATAAATACCTAATAATTTATGCAGCTTTCAAATGTAAGAAATTTAAGGTACTTTAAGAAACTCAATCAGAATCTGTGGGATCAAAGAATGACACAATACAACAAAATATTTCTCATGGGGATGATGAATCCAAGTCTGTATGGCTACAATTAGACAATTCTGTAAGTATTGACAGAGACACAATTAGCACACAGCATCATTAAAAGCTACACAGAGCTTTTTCAAAATAGAGTTCAATGTAAATCTTCCAACCTTAGTGCTCGATCCGGACTCCTTTGAAGTTCCTCAAGCGGGAAGAGGGAGCTGCCTGCAGGCAGAGCTGTGTCCACACGTACCTGAGGATCCTGACGATGCAGAGACACAAATCCTTGTCGCTGCTGCGCTGCTCCAGCGCCACGCAGAGCTCGGGGATGGCAGCGCTGTCGCTGAGCCGGCGCCGGGCCGTGGGGCAGTCAGCCAGGATCCGCAGAGTGGCTGCCAGCTGCACACCGAGAGTTCCAACACTGGTTAACCACAGCTGCTCAAGGTACAGTGTGCTGGGCTGAAAATTCACTAAAGCTCAGGTCTCATTTATAGCATCTAAGGCAGACTGCATGCCCTGTTAACATTCTGCGGGTACGTATAAACAGATAAATAACAACGGGAAACGTGTAGGACGCAAGATGCTGTGTTTGGGACAACTGTTTCAAAGTGTAAGATTGACACTGCTCTTTGCCTGCACGCAACCTCCTTCTATGAGGGACACATGATCTTCCAGATACTTTAAAATATTGCACGTATACAGCAAGGTACCAGCTGGAATTAGGTGAAATACTGTGGATAAAGTATTTTTTTTGCGTAATTCTTCAATAAATCTTAGTATCGCAAATTTATATTTAAGTCTTGAAAATGCTAATATATATTTTGATGATAACTGTAAACTGCAAATTAAAATGAATTGATTTTAAAACACAATCAGATTTATTCCAATTTAAATGAGAAATCCTTTGTTTGAACATATAAAAATGAAAAGCTTTAGTACTCAAGTCTATTTGAAGAAATATTTTCAGTTGATACTGCTCTATTTCAAGGAGCTTAAAGCATGATGTAACACTTCTAGATGTACAAAATGCAATAGCTATTGCATATCTTGAAGTGTTCTGCTTCTCTCCTAAGGCAAGAGTATTCAAATGACAAGGTCAGACAGGCAATGACATTTAAGTTAATGTTGATCTAATCCAGAATTTACTACAAAGTGAATGTGAAGTTATTCAATCTTTTGTGAATATGGGAATTCTTCAGATTTTTCTTATTCAGTGTGAACTAATTAATTCAATTTGGTTTTGGATGTAGCTGGATAAGGCACAAAAACTATCTGTTCAAATTGTTTCTTATCACAAAAAAACCTCTGGCAATTAGGCATTCTGTCACTAAACTGGACTGCTTATCCAGTGATATGCAATTGCTAATTTTAAAGAAAAACTCTTGACAAAGAGCAGGTTAAGATGTTGTGTTTCAGCTTTTGCACATAGGGCTCTATGCATATTCTGTCCATTCTCCAGCAGCTTTCAAATTTGCTGTCCTACTTCAACAAATTTGACAGCAGAGTACAAATCTTCAGTGACCCCATGATGTTCTGTAATGGAGCAACAGGGGATGCAACATGTCAAAATGGAGAAGCAAGGCATGAGAAGGAAAAAAAATGTGATAAAGTGATATGTGAATGGATTTAACTTCAGCACTAAAAAATGCAATTTATACTAAATTCTTAATACAGAGAATCTGAACCTACAGAAGCCATTTGCTTCATATCACTCATAGTTTAATAAGACACCTGGAGTTTTTTATTATTTTAACTGAACAACTGCAAAAAAAAAATCCCAGATGCACATTCCTTCTCAAGTCATGATGCTTCAAAAATCAACACAATACTGGAGATATATTTTAATAAGTATATTCTGATCAAATACTTTGCTTTTCAAAAGTTTTGGCAGAAAAATTCCTGTCACATGTATTAGAGACAGGTGACTCCATTCAGTGCTTACATTCAAGATGTTCACCGTCAGCGTAAGATGATATTTGTTGAATTCTAGCTAAGCTTCAATACAGACAATAAAGGAAATGAAGGCTAAGCCACATACTAAAAGTGTTGTTCAAACCCAGACAAGAGCTTTCACTGCAGCAAAGAGACTTATGTACTGGATAATGGAAAAAAAAATACCAATAGCCAGTGGTACAGAGTTCTCCAAAAAGAGTAAAATTTCTCAATGCCTGATACAGTTAGATGGTTCAAAATCCTCAAGCAGTACATTCTATCAAGAGCCATCCTCAGACAAAGACAGGTTGGAAAGGAAAAGCAATGCAAAATAATATATACACTTAAATGTGCAAAAAAACCAGCATTCAACAGTTCATAGAAGTATATATCCACAAAACACAGTTAATATGCAACTGAAATTTGAAGAGTCTAAAAATAATGGAAGCTAGCCAGACAGCAGCTGAATCCTAGAGATATTGTGATTGCATCAAGCAGACCCTGTGTTTCTGAGAGAAATGTGTAACAATTGTCTTTAGCAATCCCCATCAGCCCTAATCCTTATGTTGCCATATGAAAGATCAAATTCACCCAAACAGAAAATCTAACTGCTGACAAATGATATTTTTAAAGGAGAAGACATTCAAGTGCTTTTCAATTAAGGAACACAGAGTACTTAGTAAGTCTTGACAGTGACTCTCCAAAAATCTTGGGTTTTGAATAAGCATTACTATATTTTGTATAAATATTAACAGACTGTTAGGTTAAGCAACATAAAATTAATCAAAGATGACCCTGGTTTCATGTCCTCTGTTAAGGAAAAAAAAAATTACAAATATTTTTATTCTTTTATTGTATAACTTCTGCAAAAAATCCATTATGGAAGAATGAAGAAATCAGATAGGGACTTTATTCCCACAAAAAGGATCTACTAAGATTATGTATAACACTGCCATCTGGTGATTGTGCAATTATACAGTTAAAGAATGAAGAGGTGGTCCAAATTAACTGGGATACTTCAGTTACCAAGGTTAAGAGATAGCAGAACTTCCTTCAGAGACCACTGTGACTATTTAAAGTGTTTTTCTCCAATATAATTTGCTTTCTGACACTGAATACATTCTTTCTTTATGTCACTGGCTATTTGATCTGTTGCTACAAGATGCATGTGCTACAAAATTTTTTTTCTGAAGACATCAATTACAGAAGAAACTTTCTTCAATCATCTCTAAAACAGAGCCACTCGTTCATCTATGGTTACTGATCAGTTAACTCACATGAAGGAAGTAGTGCACGTGGATTTGTTGAAGGAACTGATATAAGAAAGTCACAAAGGAATTCCACAGAAGTAGGAATCACTACTTTTCTCACAAGAGGAAGAAAGCCAAAGTATCTGTACTGCTATAGAAGAGAACACAAACAAATGAAAGAGCAATCTCAGTAAGAGACAGCTGTCAGTGACAGCTCCACAAAACACTCAAGAACTCCTTAGAAACAGCCAGTCTATTCAAACAGTACAAAGCAGTTCTGCTACACTTCCATTTGTACTGAAAAGAGTAGAGATATGAGAGATTTTTTAAAGAAAGCATAAACTATAACGTTTTCCTTTCACACATTTGCAAGTTAAACCCTTGATTAAAAAAAACCCTAAATTTATCCACAGACAAATAATGGAAGAAAAACATTCCTTTAAAGTTGTGGGGAAGTTCAGACAGCTAGTCAAGATCCTGGAAATAAACAAATTCATTAATTTTATTACTAAGACTAAAAAAATCAGACAAAAATCACCAATAGTAATGTGATGATGAAATCTGTTTTCTCATATAATTTCAAGACGTATAAAATCCTGTGCTTATAAACTAGTAGAGAATTAAAGAAATCTGACCTAATTAGCTGACAAACCCAGTGCAAATGCTACCTCAGAAAATTGTCCAATGTCCTGTGAAGTACCTGAAAGTTTACAATTCAACCATCTGCTAATCATTACATATAAACTTCCAAACAAATGCCAGGAATCTACCTGGCAAATCCTTGGTAAATACAATACCCATTCCCCAGTGTTTCTAAAATGCATGGGTTTAAACAGTTTTAGGGCCAAGGATTAGTTTTCAGAGCCACCGCTTATCAAGGTGCTTTGTATGCAAAAACAGTTTTGAGCCTGCTGCCTTCAAAAGATTCAAAAGGTGTTCACTTCTGCAGCTACTTTTTCCTTACACTGCAGTTCTTGAAAAACACTTTGTCAAAGAAACACAGCTATGTGTATTTCCCTACACATTTTTAAAATGCATTATTCCTGTAATAAAAAGCTTTCTGTAATCTCCTAGAATACTGAAGAAAGAGTTTGTATTTATTATTTCCGTTTCAAGAATTTAGATAGAGAATGCATTTTTATCTGTTTACTACAGTATCCAGAACATCGTCAGCACAATAAAGTAGTAATGAGAAACTGGTTTATTAGGTACCTAAAACTATTTCTATTAACTTCAGAATTTCTAAAGCCTTTAAAATTGACTACTCATAAACATCTGTGGTAATTAAATTAGGTCCTGAACAACTTCATTAAACTTCTTAAAAGTAAGTCTATTGAAATATAGGTACAACTCTGTCAGTAGCACACAGGGTTAGCTTATCTCTTCTAATTAAATTTTTAATTTGCCCTTGAAGCACATACTTTTAGAAATAAAGGTAAATTCTAACCTGGACTAATAAGTGGCCCAACTTGGCGAAATATGTGTCATGTTCTTTTATGTTATTAATCTGCTTCATTAATTCCAGAAACATTTCAACAGCTCCTTTGCTGACCATTTTAAAACGGAGTTCTGCATTTTCAGACATGAATTTTATAGCTGCCATGCAATAGATGAGAGCTTCATTGTTTGTTTGTAGATCTTCATCCCACAGAACCTGCAACAAGTAATCTAAAAACAAAATCCTTATTCAGAAAGCCAAATATTAAAATTTATATTTGATATAGCCTGGTCATTAAAGAGATTAACAACTGGAAAACACCCTCAGATTGAACTCTTACATTTCTAATAAGTGGGCTAGAAAAATTGAATATTTGGACTGAAACCAAGAAACAATTATTGATGAATAAGAGAATGGGCCTGACTTTTGTTCTCTTAGAATTCAAGAACCAGTGTAAGCTGTAAGCACATAGCAGGAATCATTGAAATCCTCAGCCAAGATTTGCAAAAGTGATTATGTGTGGCCAGAATTTTGTTTACTAATTCCCACTACTTCCTTAAAAAGTCAAATGTCTTAAAGCATCTCAAATGGAGCACTAAAAAGCACAGGGGCCTAATTCAACTCTCACATTTGAAATCTGTTCATAGTCTTTTTAGATTTACTTTTTATGTAGGTAAAGTTGACATTAAAGTTTTGTTTTGTGCAACCACTGTCAGACATCTGAAATGCTAAAATTTACAGTTAACACAAGCCCAATGTATGTTCTGTAGTCAAACTGAGCCGTTCTGAATTTAGTGGGGGTATCTTAAACAAATGAGTAATCCTAACCAACTTCATACTTTTGAATTTCTAGTAACTGATTCAAAGAGATATTTATTTCTGCTTCCTATGTTCCATTCAGTTCCAGTTGAATAAAAACATTTTCCTGTATCATTTAACTAAAGAGATTAAAAAAAAAAAATTTCTGTCTCAACTGAAGCTGAAAGTCTCTCCAAGTATATATGTATATGAATGAAGTACACACACTCTAGGCTTTTGTCCAAACTCCCACCCTCACCAATTATATCAATTGGGTTGTAGCAATGTGAGAACTCAGTTTCATGTTCCTGCTCTGCTCAGTATCAAACAGAGTCTTGAAAAGCAAACTTGAAAAGCAGTTGTCTATTCTGGATTGAAGGATTAACTTATTTCTTCTACAGGAGCTGCTTCAATGCACATAAATTGTTCACAGGGACAGGAAAGGAAAAAGAAATTGAATCTATAACCCAGTGACTGCAACAGGGATCTGGTAGTTGTGATGATAGGCCAGGGTCATGTCTTCTTCTGGGACAAGGTGGGTCCAAAACACAAAGAGTGAATAAACAAATAAAACTATGCCTACCAATGTTCTTTCCTTCTCTAGTTTTCAAAATACAGAGAAAGAAGAGCAAGTGAAAGAAAAGTAAATGAGGACAGAAATGAGAGCAAAATGTGACTTGTTCAAATGCTGTGTATGATGCTGCTCTCTACAAAACTGTACTTTTCAGTATAAAAGTTTACCCAGCAGTTCTGTTTCCTGTGAGCCCTTTCCTTACCACTTGAAAGGCCTGTCTTTATTTCTGACAACAATTGTGTGCTAAACTTTAGGATCATGAATATTCTCAACTATTTAAGAAAATATACACATGTGCCTTAACCAATAACCATGCAATAACTGCTTGCAAGATCAAGGCCTACATTAATGAAACATACTCAAGTTTTAATGAAAGGAATTACAATCAATCAATCAATACTGACAATCACTTGCACACTTTCATTTTCTTCTTATTTCTCATATTTTCAAGGCGTGGGGGGGCGTGTGCATGACACAAACACTGTTACAAGCACTTAAAGCCATTGCTGACAGTTCTCCAAAACCATTGGCTCAATGTGCAGCAGCAGCTATAAAAAAATATATACAAAGCCAATGACTATATTTGAAAATCCTGCCTCATGATGGCCAACACCAGAGTCAGCATTATTTCGTTTCTATAAAATTTGGTGTAGACACAGCTTGAATACTATAGACAGTTTTGTTCCATAAATCTCAAGAAGGATCCACTGGAGTTTGAGAAGGTACAGAGAAAGACTTGTAAAACAACTGAATGACACAATATCTGTTCAAAGAGCTAAGAGGCTGAGATGCCACAGTCTTGAAAAGACAGAGATATGTGATAAGACTGCATTTTAAAAAATCCTGAAAGTGAAAGGTAAGCTGACTCTACAAACTCTTAAAAATCCTGCAAAACTGCAAGCAGGGGGATAAAGAAAAATACATAGATTTAAAACAGCACACAGAGAATTTCTGGAACTTGTTCTATGACATTGTAGAGGCAGACAGAATCAGAAAATCCAAAAAGGCAAATTAATGAACAAAAGACATATAAACAGAGACTAAAAAGGGATTAGGCAGGGATGCACCATCCAATGTCCCTAATAGAACAGAATAGTTCTGGATTCTGGAGTTGTGCTGGGGAAACAGATCACAGAAAACACAGAGCTCCTGTGCTCCCCCTAAATAGCATTCCCTGTTCCCATCACTACTTAGACACAGAATACTGGACTAGACCAACCATTAGTATGAGCTAAATTGGCAGGCAATTTTTACTCTGTGACTAAGTTAACTCTGAAAATGTTTTTTCAAAGGTGAACGACTTTACCTGTTGAATTTCAACATCTAACTTACAGACAAGAAAGAATACATACCCAATAATGTATCATTTTGAATGATGAAATAGTTTTTTTTGTTCCTACAAATTTTAAATGCTAGCTTGCAAACACTAAGAAGATTTTTTCCATCTACTTTCATCTGCAAAGAAATGAAAAGACATAAAATCACAACTAAAATCTCCAGGCAAAAATGCACCATAACATTCTACAAGTTCAGACACCATGGCAAACTTGTATTCTCAGAGAACTATTAAATTACAGCTGAAATCCTAACAATACATCTAAAAACTGAATATGTATACAGAATTAAAGGAAACTGAAATACCTGAAACTCAGGTATTTTAAACTCTATTTAGCAAACTGTGCCAGCTTTAAAATAACAGACTTCAACTTTCAATGTATTAATATGAACAGGTAGCATATCAGTAACTTACAGGTTTTTTTCTCCAATTCCCTTACAAAGAAATTCTGTATGGAAATCAATGGTTTGCCATCTACAGCCCTACCACAAAGACCTCCAGTACAACAGTACATGCCATAATGAAATTTACTCTCAGCTATCAGAAAACAAGATCTTATGATGAGAGATCACAAAAGAAAAGTAAAGGTGGTAAAAATGCAGTGACATCTCTCTTCCTTTCCTCTGCATTTCAAGGACAATTTCTTCTAGGTTCATGCTTTTTAAAAGATTACACAGAAAAATGTTTGTAAAGGAACCTTTGTTTTAATAAGCACGATTTAACATCTCTGTGGTATCTGAGTATATAACTCTATCTTCTGAATAAATAACTTACACTACCTTATAGGAGAACACATGACTCCCTCAACACACACACACAAATCACTCAAATGTCTAGAACACAATGTTAGTGGGCATCCTTTCACCAGTGACTGTCCATACCTGCTTTGCGGAACATGAACAAAGAAGTTCTAAAGCACAAAATTTAATTGAGAGTTTTAACCTAAATACTTTTATTTACTTTTAAATACTATTATTTACTTTTAACCTATATTCTTTTAACCAGAAATATTAAAGCGAAATATTATTTACATTTACTCATTTTCAAAAAAAACCCTTCCATTTTGGTATTTTCAGAACAAGGTCAAGATATTATTCAAAAACTAAGCTTCACTTCCATGTGTACATTTTATAATCATTGGGTTTTTTTAATCCCTGCATATGTATCCCAGTTTAGGACACTCTGTCTTTTCCATGCCTATACAATATTCCTGCCACAATACACCAGCTATGCTATTTTGTGTCCCTCCTTTCTCTCCCAGATGTAACTTCTCTGCAGAAAATAACTACAAGTGCTGATCTAGATGTATGGGAAACTAGTATCTCTGTGGTAGCAAACTGAACCTAGGAAAGGCTTAGACACAGTTTACTAGTATGAAATGAAAAATTAAATGCAAGTTGTAATTCTTGATTTTAAGCTTCACATTCTACCAAAGAGCATTTCAGAACACTTACAGCCAGAATAATCTTTGCCAGCTTCAGGGAAAGTGGATCTGAATCAATGTCTACAAGTTTATATAATGTCTTCAGAAGGACGTTTCTTCTTTTAAATCTTTTCCCAAGCATATTTCCTTCATCCAAGGTTTGATAGAGCTTGGTACAAGCTAGACAAAGGTGTTCTATATTGTCTTCTACTTGAAGGGTGTAGGAAGGGAAAGAAAAATAAAAAATAATTATCAGTGCCACTCATCCAGAGCATCTCAATATATGAAGAACAAGATAAAGAACTAAGACACTAAATAAATGTTTTTACATGATAACATAATCCTCAGAAATAATTTTATTCTGCTTTTTCACAAAAAGGAGACTCAAGCCAAGAAATCATTGAGCCAAAATGATACCTAGTGCTAAAATGAAACTCACCTTTGGTGCTTAATAATCAGATTGATCAAATGTCTACCAGGAAACTGTGTCTCTGTAAACATTCTTTAAAGAACTCCACCAAACATTAGATATGAAAAAGGGATAGTTATGGAGCATTTTTCTCCCCATATGTAACTTTAAACATCAAACCTTGCTGGGATTAAAAAAAAAGTGAATGTAAGAACATGCTAGAACTCTTCAGTGTAGAGGTACAAGATATATTTGAGTGGAATGTTGTCCTATTGATAAAAAAGTGGTCTACTTCCTCACCCAAGTCTCTGAGACTCTGTTTAAAATACACAAAAATAAAACAGTAAATTATTACAAAAGCTGCATCTCAACATAGTCTTGTCTATTTTTAAAATTGAACAGTGAGGTTTTTTAGAAAATTTCATATATTTGCTGTTGTCCATAAGGTGACACTTATAAAGCCCCACGTAAATCCACCTGATCTGGCAGTATAAACTTTGCATTTACTCAGGGTGTACTTCACAACTGAAATAGAGTCATATTCAAGGAAGCAAAGCACTTGTGATAACAGATGTATGGACAGGAAATTGCAACAAAAAACATATCTGAGGCCCCAAACCTGCAGGCAGATTCAAGGACCAATCCCTAGGGCTGAGAAGTGCCTGGAAGCTCTCAATTTGCACTCACCACACTCTAGGAACAGCAATGACTATTCCATTTCTACTCCCATCATCACAGAACATTTAACAAAATATAGTATGATTCTAAATGCTCTGCTCCAGTAAGCAGCAAAACAGGAGCGGCAAGGAACCAAATCTGAAAAGTCTTACATGCCATTTCATCAAAATTAACAACAACGAAAATTATTCATCAGTCATCCCATGGGGCACTTTAAAGCTTAACCTCCTGAGTATTGGAATGTAACAAAATAAATTATTTGTTCCTCTACAAAAAGAGACTTTGGGTTTGTTTTTTTTTGTCATATTGCAAACAACTCAAACACATCATATTCAGAAGCATTTAGGCAATAAATAAGTACCAGGTTAACTTCAGATTTGATTTTGAATGGAAAGGTTTCTGCAAATATTTTTGCATGAGGAAGGTGAAGAAAATGCTTCTCTATTAATACCTGAAAAATTAAATGTGACCTAAGTTCATGTGCAGCTGAAAGGTATGAAGCAAATGACTGCACATTAAATTAAAAAAAAAAAAAAAAAAAGTTACCAACAGATCCACTTAAAGCATTTCAATTATGGAATTCTAATAATAATTTTTATAAGAATCGTGCAGTAAACAGTCTAAAGAAAGTAATATATCACACAGTTGCAGGAGGCAATGATGCAATTCAGTTTCAATTCATGTTAATATTAAAGAAGTAGCAAAACTCAGGTTTTAAGGTTTTTGTAGTACTACACTCAGTCAACTGGTGAGAAAGTATCACTAGATAACGTCATCTATTATTAGAAAAACTAAGCCAAAACTCATCAGGTTTTTAAAAACACCCCAATATGCTAACCAAATCAAGTAAAGACTGAGGAAAAGGGGCATGAAAACTGATCTTCCTAAGCTACATTCATGACAAGGGAAAGACATTATCAGATTTTACCTCTACATTTTACTTTGCTTACGAATAAAGAACACCTCACCAGGCAAAACCATATCTCAGTGTCTGATATTTGACAATCTTGGCATTAAGCAAGGAAAATGTGAAGTTACATAGCTGTTTTCAAATTTCCTGATCACTGTTTTCTATCCATCAGTGACAGATGTGGGAATGAGAATCCTGTCTTTTTTAAACAATTACATATATTGGGAATCACTTAGCACTGTACAGGTGTCTCATACTCATCAACATCTGCAAAACTGTGCAAAAAAAGTTCTAATCCATACCATGCTATCACAAACACTGCTAAAGATCCTGTAAAACAGAACTACTTGTAAAAACAGATCTACTTTCTATATTCCCAACATTCAAATGAATACAATGTCTAGAGAAGGCAACTGAACAACTTTTTCAATGAAAAATGGATTCCAGAGTTTAATCTTTCCAGCTATACTTAATTTACTCAATTTTGCTTCACTATTCTGAGTCATTACATAATTTTCTGGCACATCTAACATTTTAATCACAATGGAAATTTTCAGTTAAGCTTTTCTTAGTTTTTTTAAATGAATTGAGACCTTCAATACAGTCTATGGTTAAAGCAGTGAATCTGTGCAGTACTTTATTTTAAAAATTATTATTAGCTCAACACTGACTCCTAAGATGGCAGAGCTATGTTGTCTAAAATAAGGTAATTTAATCAGACAAGATAAGATCTTCTCTAAACCAGTTTTGAGTTTTTTTAAAGGATCACAAAATGGGCAAGGCTGGAAATGACCTCTGAAAGTCATCTGGTACAACTCCTGTGCTCAAGCAGGGCCACCTAAACTGCCCAGGCCAGTTTTACACTGTGAAGTCACTGAACATCTGAAAGCATAAAAGGTCACATACCCCAATTATTGTTATTATTTTGTAGTAAACACAAATGAGTCCCATTCTTCCTGCAAGAAACTGTACAGAAAATACAACCTTTCAGAGCAGTGTTACCCACTTTTTTCTAGTTCACGCAGGATTGGTAGAATCTTTGTATGCCAAAAGAGATCTTCCTCTTCCCATCCATTTATTCTTGTTTCATCCTTTAAACCTTCAAAATACATTCAAAACAAAAGCACACATTCAGTGAAGGTTTCACTTTCTACAGTAATAAATAGCTACAAATACTTTATTCATTAGTCTGGAAAAAAAACTAAAAATGTCACGTTTTGCTATATTCTGGGTTATTCTATGAATTCAAGCTTTTCTTTTCATTTACACGTTTTCAAAAATGAACATTTCAAACAAAGCTAGATGGATAAGTGGTTTGATATGTAAAGCTGTACTGTAAAGCTTTTGTTTGTTGACATTAATGTTTCATTTGATCACTGAATTGGAAGGTAATGACTACTTAAATATCAAAGTGTCCTACTATTTTTCTGCTCTGTGTTCACAGGACAGCTTATTATTTATTAAAAAAAATGCATACTACAGACAATCCTGTAGGACTGCAGAATTTTATCTAGTACACATGCATGATATTACACGAAGCTTGATTAACTGACTGGTCAGTTAGAGAAAAGTCCTGTTAGTTATTACATCCTGTTAGCAATTCCAACTACTTCATGCAATTAGTTTTGTGAACTTCATGACTAAGCTTTTATAAAATGTATGTTTCTTTCCTATTCTTTATTGCATTCAGCAGTTTTTCACATGGCAACCTGTGAAATGAATAGTAAACTATAGAGATGTGAAAGATATTCTGCTTCCAAAAAACATGTCATAAATCTTGAAGGCAACCAACTCCCACTGTTCTTGGCTGCCCTCAGCCAAATATCCCTTTGACTGAGAAAAAGCTACTCTTCACTATCAGAAACCTCGTCCACAAAGACAGTTTTTAAAAATATTTAAGCTTTTTTATACTTGGCTTCAAAAAGAAAATACAAAAAAAATGTATTACAGACATCAAGTCAAAATTTGGTAGACCTAAAAACCATCAAACTAGATTTTTTCTGGAAATAAGAGTGGGAGCATAGATCTGTTTTCAGATTGGGCAAGGAAGCTGGTGAACTTACAGTTTATTAAAAAATGGAACCCAGGATTCACTTTCATACAGATGCAGTATTACTGGGAATTATTCTGACTTCCTGAACATCCTTTACACCTCCACCTAGGACCTGTTGAAATGACAAAATTCTGGCCTTGACTATTGGGCCACTACAGGTGGAGAGCCAGAGTTTCTGTGAAACTCAAGATGTAAAGGATCTAACAGTTGCTTACAATGTGCATGTGGGCATGCGTTTAGAGTTCAAGACTGGGTTAAACTCTTTATCTTTCAGGCAAACAAACTTGTTATAAAGTCAGGGTCTGGGCTGTTGCGTTGTTTTTGCTTTTTTAAATAGGGAAATAGAAGTCACACAACTCTACTAAATAACATTTAGAAAGCCGCTAAGGCTGGATTATACACATTTCTTTAAGTGACAAATTTGTCTGCAAATATCTCCTGTTGTTCATTACTAGCTCTTGCATTTAAAGGACAGGGTAAATTCTTAATACAAACATGAACGAACACAAAAATACTATAGTACCTGCGAACACCAACAATAAAAAGTTTTCATCACAAGAACAGTACCTCAGACCTTAAAACAGTGACTGTGTACTGGCATTACTTAGAACAGTAAAACAATTAAAAATTTCCTATTTTAAAAGCTTGTTCTTTAGAAAATAATCCAGACTTTTTTTGGTCTATATTAACTGTCTACCTACATCTTATGCACAATTAATCTATCAAATGTATCTATTTCAAAAGATTATTAAAAAACGCTTCTATTTCATAACACTGTAAAGCTATATTTTTATATATCTATTATATATAACTACATGTTATTAGCAAATATAATTATTATTCTTATTATTTTGCATACCATTTTTATGTTCTAGATCAAATCAGTTGACAATCTTATTTAAAATGATGAGTAGCCTAATTAACAAAACACTATGCAGTGTTTGCAATGAAGTGAAAATTCTGTTCTGGATAATGTAAAAGTACAGAACACTAGAATGAGAAACTAGAAATGAGAACACTAGAATAGTGTGCACTCTTCCTTCCTGCCACAAAACCCACACACTGACTGAATTATTTCTTTTATTTTCTATCTGTAGCTACATCTCTTAAACTGAACTGAACTGACTTTTTAACTACATATACACAAGTTCATTAGGCAAGGAATGGAAAACATCAGGCATGCATTTGCAGAGAGAGCCAAACTTCTCACTTAAAAAAAAAAAATTACCGAAGCCATTTAATTTTCGGTTCAGAATGAAAAGAGCAGATGTTTTTGTACTACTCTGCCTCACTTGTCTCATATTCATCAGAAGAATACAGCAAACTGAAAGTCATAATGGCATAATTTTTTTAAAAAAAGTATCTCTTATACCTAAGTAAAAAAGAAGATAATCAGCTTTTACTAAACAGTATTAATCCTAACAATAAGAATGACCAGACAATACACGACTATAAAGAAGAGCAACATTACTAAATTGTATGTGTCTCAGTCCTGGGAGATTTTTTAAGCTGCTGATGAAAAGTTAGGGTACTAGCTATATTTAAAATAATGCAAAAGCTGTCCAGAACTTTCTAATAGAGTTGAACTACAATTCAACAGAAAAAATACTCAAGCAAAAGAATGCAGCAAGTTCAAGTTGGTTGTCTCAGTTTTTCATAGGTCTTAACCGCTGCTTTGCATTCTGGTCAAAAAAAAAAAAAATCACTAATCAGTCTACATTTATTGGTTGCTGTTTTTAGCATGTAAATACAAGAGCCTTAGCAACACTGAGCTTTCAAAAGCTGAGTACTGCCTGACTTATAATGTTTAGCCTTTTCACTGAATACTGAGTGGCCACGAATAGATCAATATTAAAACAGTCTACCTCCTCTCTAAAATGCCAAAGCATAAACACAATTAATATCAGAAAATAGAAATCATTTGTAAATGAACGCTCCACCCAGAATCCCATTCTAAAGGAGAAATTATGGAGAATTCCTAGTGCTATCCCACTCTTTACTGTGAGATTACAGATGAAGCAGCACAAACTAAGGAAGCTACATAACGTTAAGAAAAGTAGATATAAAAAGAAACAATCCTAAAAGCACACTTTATATTTTCAGTAACACCAATAAAATAGCACAAACAAATTAAAAGGCTTGTAAGTATACTAACTTGCATGACATGGTAAATACTCACTGCTCCTCATATGGAAATGAGAGCAGAGTACAGTACAACCTTTGCCAGAATCATCTGGAATCAAAGAATTTTTCAGTTCTAGAAAAATAGTAATAAAGCATAATAATAATAATAGCGCAGTAGAAACTTCAGGTCTCCATACCAGACTCTCAAATATACACTTGTGATGTATGAAATGTGTCAGCTATGGGGAAATATTATTAAAATCTGTTATGGAAAATTAGAAAAATGCATCCCTACACAGCAATCTGAAATGTTTTTCTTCAGATAATAAAGGCTGGCATAATTTTATTAGTTTCTGAGCAACTATGAAAAATTACAAAAAGTGATGGGCAAATAAGGTATTCATGGATTGGCAAATTCTTAAGCCTAGATATGGGAAAAGCAAGATAGAAAATACCAACAAATTTTTAGAGTGAAGATCTCTTGAATATTGTTTCTCTTTACTAAGAACAGTAAGAAAACTCAATATATCTAGGAAACCAAAAATACTGTTCAGTGAATAATGAAGAACAATATTGTCAAATCACAAGAATTAGATTATTTCCATCTGAGTGCATTTCACATTTTTTTAATGGAGATTGAAATTCCTTGTACCTGTAACTCTTCTCTTCCAGCGTGAAGTCCTTGGCTGTGATGACATTTTGCCAGGCTCTTTCATCTGGTTACTAAAAGATACAGTATGGACACGAAAAAGCATTATCAGAAAACTGTGTTCAAAAAGCTTTTTCTTTCACAAGCATTGAGTTGTTCATACTAATAAATAATTTGAAAATAATATGTTATTTTATTAAGTCAGTATGTTAGCTGCTCATTAAAAGTTTCATGTAAATACAACCTCCTCCCATATGTATTACAGAAAGCTCATAAAGAAATACTGACATATTCACACCACAAGAGGTCACCATTATGGAATACAAAACCTAAAGCATTTCTGCTTGCTCAATAAACTGAAAGATGAACCAAACTAAATTCAGAAACAGCTTCATTAAATGAATATAAAACTCATCTAGCTTAAAACTTTCATTTCATCCATTCACAAGGACAGTATTTTTTTTTCTGGATTAACACTTCTAAATCATTTAATAAGAAGACCATTCAATGAAACAAACACTTGAGTGACCTTTAAAGTATATATCAGAATTTCTGGGTCTGCCAGTGAACTACTGCTAACTGAATAGCAGTCACTACTTCTGTTTAGTGTCGCCATTTCTATTGTTTTACAAAGTAATGCCATAATTTCTGCTGATTTTATGGTCAGTCTTTCTTTGGACAGAGGAAACTACTACATACATCTAGATTAAATTTATTTATCAATTCTGTTTACCTAGCTATACACTCAAGCAGCACTGATCTAAAAGAAATATACAAGATGTAGACACTCTGTTATCAAACTGGAATCTTTTCTCTTGTACTAAAGAGGAAAGTCAATCTATGTTTTCCATTCTCAATTTATGTTTAATTTAACACCTCTTATTCCACTTGAAGTTGATGTACCAATGCAACCTAATCTCCTGAACTCCCTTCTAAAGATGACAGTAGTGTGCTAGCAATGTTATTTCCATTTTTTTAACCAGGTAATTTAGTTACTCTTAAGCTTAAAGCTAAACTGTTGTTTAAGTAGTTTGCTGGATTGGTGCCTAAATCCTGTCTGTCAGTCCAGACAGAAGATGTAAGTCATCTTATCAACAGATGGAGACAGAACAAAAGACAAAGCTCTTGCAAGAACAGTTCCCTTCAAAAGGGACTGGATAGCTCACTGTGATCAGTCAAAAATTTCCCAAGCAATCACATTACAGAGGAACAGTTGCTTCATTATGGCTAACAGAAAATAATGCTTTATTTTTACAGCATGAGGATTTAAGTGCTCCAAAATCTAAATGCTTATACAAAGTACCTTGAAATTATTTCAGCTCACATATAGCATTTCTTACACCTCTGGGGAAGCAATATTTATAAAGAAAAAAAAAGAAGTGTTTGCATCTCTAAAATTGTGACATCTCTTAAGATGGAAGGGGTTTAGAACTCACATTACAGACAGTTTAATGTATTGGCAGAAATAAAAATTTGATTCCATTTCTGTCAATACTTTGTCCTACAAACTTTAAAAGTTTCAGAAATATTTCTACAACTTTCAGCCATCCCTGAAATCAAGACTAGAACTTGAAAGAACATTGGATAAGCAAGAGAGCTACTTCAGTCACCTTCTACTAAACATAGCTGTATTTAGAAATCAGTACCTTCAGAATTGTGTGTAGGCATGATGATACTACATGCCTATATGAATAGGGATGTTTGAATTTGCTTTCCTCAGAAAAAAGTTTTGTAATATATCCTGTCTGTGCTTCTTCCCTGAAAATGTAAATCCAGGATGAATCCAAGAAACTCAACCAAGACAATCCTATGAGTTTTGTTTGAAGCAAAAGCAAATTAATACAAAAAGCCACTGAAGGAAAGGATGAGTTTACTTACCAGGTAGAAACACTACATGCATGAGATGCAGAGTTAGACCACATCAATTGTGCACAAAAAGACGTTGGGTTGGAATCTATTGCTTTTTAAACATCAGTATCAACCAGTTCAGAGACTTAAATTATCAGGAAAGCAAATTATTCTATGAATACCAGCAGTACAACCATCTATGCTTTTGGGAAATACCCTTGTAAGTCAAGCAAATGTCCATTATTTTCAGAAAATTAATACACTGAATACCTATGTAAATGAGAATAGTTGGTGGGCAGGCTTATCTTTAGGGAATACGTACAATTTAGTAATTCTGTGAGAGATTATAAAACCCCTTTATGTATCTTTACCATTCTGCCAACTTCATTTTAGTTACACAGACTTTTGGTTTGTTATCTTTACATTTTCATTTAGGACTGAAACTTAAATAGAAGTATCTTATTAAGAACAATGCAGTTAAAATATAATTGACCTATTCTAAAAAATAAGTCACCTACTATTGAAGGGAACTGGCTTGTCAAGAGAGTGGTTGCCTTGGAAACAAAGTCAATTGGCAGAAATCTGTTCGTCTGATAAGGGGCTCATCAAGAAATCAACTGACAGAGGCTCTGATGATTTACAGAAGAAAAAGAACTTGGCAACTGGATCATTTCTATCCTTCTCATATAAAAGAAATCATAGTAGCCTCAATGTAGAACATTGCTTTCTTGGATGTACCCATAGTGTGAGGACTTTGAAAAGGAAAGTGAGCCAACACTAGAGTAGTGACAGGCATCGCGTGCCCAAGCACACCACTCTTTTCACTCCCCTCCTCAGCAGGACCAAGGGTAGAAACAAGATGGAGAAAAACCCATGGATCAAGACAAAAACAGTTTAATAAAGCAAAAGCAAAGGCCACTTGCAGAACCAAAGAAACATAAAAGATTTATGCTCAACTTCCCACCAATAGGCTATGTCCAGCCATTTCCAAGAAAGCAGAGCTTGAGTATGCATAGTGATTGCTCTGGAGAACAAACCTCATAATAATAAATGCCTCCTCACTTCCTTTGTCTTAGCTTTCACTGCTGAGCAGACATCATACATTATGGAATCCCTTTGGTCAGTTTTGTCCAGCTGTCCTGGTTATGTCCCTTCAAAAGACCTTGCCCACCCCAAGCCTACTGGTGACAGGCTTATGCTGGAGAGACAGCGCTGATGCTGTGAAGTGCTGCTCAGCAGTAGCCAAAATGCTGGTGTGTTTTCAACAACAACCTTTAGCTACCAATGCAAAGCACAGAACTGTGAGGGCTGCTCCAGGGAAAATAACTCAGTCAGACCCAATACGTGTTGAGTATTTTCCCGTTGTGGAAGAATAGATAATTAAGTGAAAGCTGCATTTATTAAGAAATTCTGCATGTTTAGACATTTACTTGCTTGTTCTTGCCATGAGCCTCTTGTTAACAGTAAATCTGCAAACTCTCACCCTTGCATGGTATTCCAGGGAAAACAACATTTTTACAAACTATATCCCAGAGGCAAAGAATTGAACTAGTAAACTCCAAAGAAGCTGCACACAACAGCAAGGGTTGAATCACAAAAGCGAAAGTAAGATCCCAATGGAGGAACAGTGCTTGGGCTCCTTTCTCATACTGCACCTTAAGCATTGAGAATCTGGCTATCTCTTTACCTGCCAAACAGAGTCTGGCAATGGGCCTGAACTTTGTCTCACACTGTCCCACAGAGTTAAACCCTTAGCATCACCCCTGCTACAGATTTGGCCCAAGAAAGGTGTTATTTTCCTTGACAAACAGCTGGGCACAGGGCACAGATAAGCAGAGGGAGGGACGTTCCCAGACACGACCTTATGTGTGGGTATTAAAAATAGGGAGGTAATTAAAGATAGTTTCATTGAATTAACATAATCTATGATGCTGTAGATAGCCACCAAGCCAGAGACTTGCCCCTTAATTTAATTTTTATTAATTATTAGTAGAGATGTATTGCTGGTACCCCTGAGTATTTAGTTACCAGTTAAGAAGACATATGGCCTAATACTAACAAGTTAATGCTTCTCTACAGAATTGTATCTATCAAGTACCTGTGGTCAGCAAGGTAGCAAAGGTCAACTAGAACAAAAGAGGACATGACCATCTTTTCTGAATTGCCCGACTTGAAGGCATTCCGTCTTTACATTACCCTCTCCTCACGGTAAGGATCCTGTATCATCTCACATACCCTTACAGCTTTGGGAGGCAAAACTAGGGAACAAAGTGGGAGAAGAACAGAGAATCACAGTAATGGAGATAGCGTAATAAAGAATGAAGAATACACAGGTTACTTTTCAAAGAGAAGAGTAGGAATAAAGGGGAATGAGAAAAAGATGAGGGCAGTGGGGACAGAAAACATCATAAGTCACATAGTATCTCCTTCTGCAAGTGCCAAGGCCTCACACAACTTTGCTCACCCAGATGTTATAAGCCTCTCCTTTCGCACCCATGTAAACTGGATCCATGGACTCTCTCCTAAAGTAGAGACAGGAATTGGGACTACGTCATGTAAATCAGAACCTGAGAAGATTCTTAAAAAGGCAGACAGCTACTAATATACTGTGCATAGCATGCCCTGAGTAAATGCTGTAAGGAAGACCTACACTGTAGACACGAACTGATGTCTGGAAATAGATTTATTTTCCATTTTTAAACATACCCTTTTTATTAAGCCAAAGAACTCTAATTACGAGCACATGATTTCTACACATCTGTAACTGCAGAGCCCTTTCTATATGTATAGAACCACCATTCTTTAAGTTACTTCCTCAGAAGCAAATCTAAGCTCCAGATTATTTAATTATTTAACCTTAAACCTGTTTTATTTTTGGTCTTTATTTTGATAAGGTAAACAAATCTTTTTGTCCATCTTCCCCTCATAGTCATCCAGTTTGTCCACACTGTATTTTCCTTCATTATATCGCCTTCAACTCCCACAAAATTATTTTCTAGTTTATTTAAAACCCAAAAATGTGTCTGAAATTTTTACAAAGTTTTATTTTGGATCCTTGATATATCAGTGTTTTCAGGTCTGCAAAAGTCTAGGAGAGCAATTTCTAACTTTTCACAAAGCTCTAGAAGCAGTCTAGGCACTGCAGTAAATGCAGACTTTTTATACATAAATACAAGCACTGAACATCTGATTTTACCAACATACATTGTGTGCGTTGGAAAGCCAGACATGGTGTATCTACACCCAAAAATCAAGACATTTCACTAAGTGTTAAGAAGAACAGATTTCAAGCAGTGCTAAGCAGATCCTAGGGGCCTGTTCAGACAAGCCAGATGTATCAAAATAACTACTAGGCACAAAGGTGTTTTTCCAGACTAAATCAGAGTTCAGTTCCCTTGACTGTGGATAATCCTTAAACAGACAGGCCATTTAGAAAGAATGTTATTTGAGATTTTACTCACCTGTATATTCAGAGTGTGATTACATATCTACACTGTAATCTGGGTTTATTTTCATTGCTAGCACTGTCCAGGATGATATGTCTTATATTGATAAGGATCATTTGGTTATTTAAGCAGCTGAGTGCTTTTCTTTCAACCCAAGATTCATAATTCTATATGGACTACAAAGGGAAAAGCTGCAAGGTGGTGTTGTGGAAGTATATACAACCAATAAATCCTTAAAAAGAACTGTCACAGGTAAATAGTTTTTCCTGTTTTGAGTGCTTGCCATGGGGGAGAAGAAAGAGCTCTTGTCACACAATCAATGATGGTGTCACAATGCACCCTCCCTCCAGGTATTGAAAGATGTTGATAAGAACCTCTGCCAAGCCTTCTCCATGCCAAACAGTTCCAGCTCTCTCAGCCTTTCCTCAAACAAAGGATTCCTTCACATCTTAGTAGCTGGATTCCCTCCAGCCATTTCATATCTCTATTGCACTGGGGAGCCTGGAACTGGTCCCAGCAGCCCAGGTGTAGTGGTTTTCAAGACTAAAATGAACAGGCTGCTAAATAATCTCATCTACTCTCTTCGACAAAACATTGGGCCAGATGATCTTCTGAGGTCTCTCCCATCCTGAGCTGTTCTATGAACTTGTTGTACACCACGACCTCCAGGTCTTTTTCTGCAAAGCTGCCTCCCAGCTGGATCACCCCCAGTATACAATGGTGCCTGGGGTTGTTCCTACCCAGATGCAGGACTTTGCATTTGTCTTTGTTAAACTGCATCATGTTCCTGTCAAACCATTTCTCCAGCTTGTTGAGGCTCCTCTGGACAACTCTCTGGTGTATCAGCCAATGGGTTGTTTATGTAGTGACTGCCAGTTAGCACTTTTTCTAAATTATTCAGAACTGTGGTCTCATGAACAGCCCATCAGATCTCTTGGCAAGAGCACTGTGCAAAGATACGTAGAGCTCTAGACCAAGTCTATCAGGGCACAGCCAAACTCAGCAACTTTGTCTCAAAAAGAACAACAGCAGCTCCAGGGAAAGTTAAAGGAGCTAATGATCCTGGGAATGATCCTGGGGTGATCTTGGGAATTAGGGCACTAAGGACAATGGAGCAAACCCTGAGTCAGCAGCAAGAGACAAAGTGGTGCAAGGGCCCCATGGCAGAGTCAGATGCAGAGCTGCAGCAAGTGAGAGAAACTGCAGTGGATCTTCTCAGAGCAGGTTCACAGTGGATCTTCTCAGAGCAGGTTCACTTACACAATGCTTTTAGGATCCCCTGCTACCTCAATTTTTCCACTGTGTTTAGTGATCAAGGAACAAGAGTTCTAATTCTAAACCAAAATTACTGATGTTAACAAGACATTACTCTGTAGACTTCAAAAGGAAGTATAAACAACACCCCAGTATTTTGACATTACTCTGTAGACTTCAAAAGGAAGTATAAACAACACCCCAGTATTTTTGCCAAAGCAGCTAGTAGGAAGTGTTTTTAGCTTTTGGCAAAATGAGAAAAATTAGTATTTTGTTCTGCCATTTACTCTCACGGAAATTAATTTTTCTACATACCAATTAACATTTGCATTTCTCATTAATCCCTTTATTCCAATTTCATTATACTATCCAGACCTTTTATGTTGCCAGAAGGACATCAGAATTAGTTTCTGGTATTGTCTTCCATTAGTTAAATAGTAGGGAATATGTTTTTGTGGTTTTTATTACAAACCAACTGATTTCTTCCTGACACATAACTTAGCACTTGAAAACCACCCTATCCTTTTAGACAAAGAATTGACCTTCACTGAGCCACTTTAGAGAATCTGTCCCTATTTTGCTCAGCTACCACAGAATCTTCCATTCTGTGATGTCATCTGAGGGACAAACAAGTTAGATAAACACAATCTGGAAAGAAGTCTCAAAGAAAAAAAACCCACTATAATAGCTCAATTTTTAAAGACTGTTTTCCTTTTAAAAAAACCAATGGAGATAAAATTACCTGCAGACAGCTAAAAGAGATATAAAATAAAGTATTAAGCAAATTACATACAACTTGAGTCAGTTTTATTTCTCAACCACAAAGCTTCTCAAAAGCATGAAAATAATTCAAAAGCTGGTAATATAGATATCCTGAAATTATTTCAGGAACTGTAGAGGATTATAAGAAACACCATAAGAACAGGAAAAAACAAAAGGAGAGAAAACTGTAATTAAGTGTATAACTAATACCACTGATATGAGAAAAGATAACTAGTAGAAAGACAACATAATTTGCAAAAATATATTGACAAATAGACCAACTACACTCTGAGTCATCCTAAAGATGAGTAAATAACAATTCCATAAACACAGTCATGAGAATAACTCATTTCTTATGACAACTCAAGTGATAAAAAAATACAGCATTTCTTATTTATACAGGCTGTTGATGGAGAGCCTCATGCACATGTTAAACAGTATGACTTAAAAGAATAATCATGGTTGATGAAAAGTCTCTATCCTTTTTATTCTTCACAGTCTTTGCATGTTCTGTCTAATATTGAAAATATTAACAGTATCTATTTGCAGCAGAGTATCTTCAGGCAACCAGACAATCTGACAGTCTAATTCTAACCATAAAAAATACCTAAAACACGAGCCTAAATATATTTGACTCCCTCATTATCTTCCTAACTTGAATCTTGCATAAGCATTGCATTTTTAAACAGAAAACAAATTAAAATCCATTGTTACTACAGGTCTACCTAGAGCAAACTGGCATTCCTTCTTTACTCTTTGCACAGCACATTTACCCATTCCAGAATTGCAATTCAATTGGTATTAAGGACTCTCAAGACCTAGATGTCCCAGATCTGGTGCCAAATGACACTGGCCTGAAACTACGTACTAGAGGGGAAAGACTCTTTGGAGTACACGGTAAAAATGTGACTGAACTCCACTGTCTCTTTTGTGAGCTAAGAGACCAGAGATAAGTTACTTCTTACTCTTTTCTTCAGAAGTCTATAACAAGTTATGAAAAAAAAGAATTCTTCTTTCCCAGTGTTCTCTCAGTATCCTTAAGCCTATACCAAACCAGGCACCTTCTTTTCTTGACAGGGTAGGTGTCACGATCTGGAAAACACTGTAGAAAGCTCTACTTGTGAAGGCTTTCCCACCACCCAATTGTTTCTTTCTGAAATCATTGGTCCAAATAGCCAGTGCAACTGAGGCAGAAATAAAGATTAGTTGAGAGTAGGTTTATTTCCTGTTTCCCCGTCTTTATGAGAATACCAGAAGTTGCCAATATACGTAATAAAATTAAAAAAAAAAAAGAAAAAGAGAAAAATACTGAAAAAAGTCTGGAGAATCAGCAACACCATACAACAAACCAATAGCCACACCATGCCACTCATTTCAAAAAAATCATCCAGAGCAAAACAGAATGGATGTTCCCCTCAGGAAAAAAAATTAAATCTCCTCTGTGGGAGAAAAAAATTTTTTTCTTTGAAGAGAAAAAAAAAATGTATATATTGAGCACAGATGTGAAAGTTGTTTAAGGAACCAGAGAGAAGTAATTTCCAGTGGTACCCTCCAACCCACCCTATTCTATGAATATATGATTCACTTTATCATTTAATCCTTTGCTTTTACCATTTTCTATTGAAATATTCCAAAACTCTAAAAAAGCACAAGAAAGAGAAACTACTCTCATGGAAGAAGAATATATTTCAAGGATTCTGTAAAACAGGCATTTAATAAAGAGAGCAATGGTAAGAGAAAACAGGGCACAGTGTATCTTCTTTACAGCACCTGCTAATCCTTTTTTAGCTCTTTCTAAAACTCACTTATTAAAAAAAGAATAGGCCACTTGGGAATGAACTGCTGCCTCCAAACTCTTCCTCACTCAAGGCATCTCTGCTTTTAAGAAGTCCTGGAATGACATCTAAGCTTTCAGAATACTGAGAAATTGGAGTAGGAAAAAAAAAACAACATCATCTTTTCTCACCAGGGAAACTGTTGCTCTTCATCAGCAAATCTGCCATCACTGTTGACACTTCTGTTGAAATATATGAATGCAGAAAACATTTTAGAAGTTTCACTTCTATAGCAATCACAATAGATGGCAAGGCACAATGGTTAGAGGAAGATGTAAACAAAACCGAGCTTCCTTATGATTGCCAGAAATTGTTCCCAGCTTTCCTGAGGCAACATGTCAATAAATTCAATCTGCTTCAATTAATTTACCTATTCTATTACAACTAGATTGTTATTTGCAGAACAGAATTGCAAACAAAATGGCAAATAGCTTTTCCCCTCAAAAGGTCCTTTTCCCCCTGCCCCCACCAGTACCTTTATAAGGCAGTTGTGATTTCATTAGCACTGTTCATTCTTTTCTTCAGTCTTTGGGACAACAAAAGAATGTGAGATAGAAAGTTATCAAGTCTCTTGCTGGAATAGAATACCTCCCTTCTGTTCTCTTTAAAATAAATATAATAGCATTAACGGCAGGAATCTGCCATACTATTTTGCCATGCTCTATTGTTTCCTCATTAGCAGAAAAATAGTTTCATTAGGGAAGTTATTTCAGTGCATTTATAGGAATGGTAGGGAAAGGAATGGTAGGAAGTCCCACACACCTTCTCCTGTATGAAGTGTACTATTTCTACAATCCTCTTGCTTAATTCCTCCAAGGATTTAAAATCACTGTGATACAGAATTGAGGTTGACACCCGCTTCATATAGAGAATGACAGGACACTAGGTAATAAAAGATTTCACATTCCTTTAAGCTTTCATCCTATTACTCCTGAATGCAATGTACTTTAAATAGAAAATATCTTGTAACACCATACAAGATGCCTCAAGTATTTATGACACAGAACCAGATGCAATCTAACCTTACAATCATCTAGTAAACATGTTCTACAGAGAAAGAATGCCTAATCTCTCACTGCAATGACCCCTCTATATTTCTGGAGCCTTTTACATACAAGTATCAGGAAGACCAAATTCAACAAACTATATAGAAGGCGAGGTTTGTGGTACCTTTCAGCTGCCTTGTCAGATGAAGAATGACATCTCTGAACACAGAGCAAAGTCTGCCTGACTTGTGTAGTATCATACACAAACACTGGACCAATGTACTCATTGGTGTAAGTCTTAGCAAGGAGTTAGAATGTATGGGAGCAGCTGAGATTATCCACAGCCATCCCAACACATGATGGCATGAACTGCTTGGGCTGATATAGATGAGACACCTTTGTGGCTAAGGAAAAGCATTTTGTATTATTCTTGTGCATCTTACACCATTGCAGATGTATGTGGTGCTCTAAGCCATATGAGCACCTAAATGGCATCAGGAAGCTTCCCTTAGGCAGCATTGGCAAAAATCAGCTCTGACTCAAGTACACAGAAAGCATCCACAACTCACAGGAGAGGTAAAAATGGGCAATTCAAAAATACAGATCTTGCATTCAACACAGAAAGATGGAGGAATATTATATTCCTCTTCCCTTTTGGGAGAAAACTAGTCAGAACAATATTGGGAAGTAATTTTTTTGTATTATCTTAAGGCCAGTAATTTAAGAACTGATTTAACTGATGTATGAGATTCCTGATTGCAAAAAGCATAGTAACTAAAATGCAAAATCAAAAACATGCAAAGCTCTTGTTCTTATAAAGAAAGTGTATAATTTTGAACAGACAGGAAGCATGCCTAATGGGTTAGCTGTTCATTTATACATGCAAGTTTTAAAATTATGACTGAGAAGGAAGGTCATCCTTTTCAATTAGCAAAAGTATCAACTGACCCTTTCCTATAAGAGGCACTTGGACATCATCAACTAAAACAGCAACCCAAACAGAAAGCAGAACTGAAAACAGTAGGATGCATATTCCACAAAAGGAACTTCCCATTTCCACTGCAACAGTGACGTATTTCACACCACACCTTTATTAAATACAATTCAAACTACAGTAATTTATGTAGTATGATAATCAAAATCATTTTTATCTAAGAAGTTATTAGATCACTGATTTTAAAGGGAGAAAATTACATTGCAGTAAAGTATTCTCCTTGGTGCTTTTCTTTTTATCACCTACATTTTTCATCTCTGCTCTTATTTTCTCATTCTTCCTGCACACTCATGGAGTTTTTTCTTTGCTACAAGAAGGCTTCATTCTTTTAGAATCTGTCTTTTTTTTTTTTAAAATTCTGCTTACAGTTTAATATAAAAGAGTGCTATGATAGCTCTGTTATGTATCATTTACTGTAACAGCCTCAATGGACAACATTCTTTTAAACTATTAAATGCTATCACAAAGTTAGTAAATTAAAGGCCTTTAATTTTATAAAATTAAGAACACGATCTTTAATATCAAAAGTGGTTAAGAATATCCAGGGAAATAGCTTTCCCCTAAGCATACAAACATGATAAAAAGAAGATACCTACTGGCAAATGCATATTTTAAGAGTGAACAAGTTTTACAAGGATGTGTTTTGAAAATAAAGTGGTTTTCATTTTCTGTTGTTGAGATTGCCAGATCTGTCAATGTTAATAGCACAAAACAGCTGTTCATCTGACTGCTAATGCAGTAACTGTACACCAACTATATATAGTGCCATGGGACTATTCTTCCCTGTGCAAGAATTCACATCTAAATCAAAAGAAAAACAAATTACTTGAGTATGAATTAAAGAACGGATATGACATTCCAGGTTCAGTAAAAACAGACTGCAGGCACATGAGCTTCATTAATCTCCTAAACCTATTTGGTCATGCAAGAAAAAAGTACTAAAAATTCGAAGTCACAAAAAATTCTGCTTCTGTTACCAAAGAGTTTAAGCCAGGTTTTGGTGTATGATCGCATACCAGAATTGAAAGCATGGCTCTACTCATCTGTCAAGCTAAGTGAAGATGGTATAGCACCTTAAAACAACAGGACTAAACTGCAAAAGCAAGAACATCAAATTTAAACTTGAGCATTTTACATGCAGTGATTAGAAACTTAGTTTTGAAATGTTAATGATCAAACAAATCATATAGAACAAATTTCTACCAACAATATTTTACAGATTAGTCTTCTGAATGTAGAAACTTCCTAAAAGAAGAAATGTAAATTTTTCTAATAATCTAAACACAGTTACATTTTAAAGCATATGTAATGTTATCTTCAAATTCCATTAATTTTAAGCATTTTGATATTTGCACAGTTCAGTATCTAGGAACAAGACTGTATGGAAGATGAACATTACCATACTTGACCAATGCTGACCTTTCTCCTTGCAGCTGAAGTGAAAATTTTACTGGTGTCCCTTCCATGGATTCGCCACTTCCTGATCTGCTGGTATGCTCATTACAAATTACCTGTCTACTCTCATCATTAAATGATGTGTACAACTTTTGTTCTGCTAAGCAGTTATTATTACTTCTGTCAAGATCATTCACCATCATAGCTGGCTCTTCAAAATTTAGCTTCACGTCATCTGAAATAGTCAAAGAGAACACATTTTGTTCAAGTGCAATTAATTACTGCTTGTCGTGTTACGTTATCAAAATTTGCTTGTATCAATTTAAAAAGTGAAAAAGCTCAAAACTATTAAGAGTAAGGTAGTCAATGTCTTCTTTTGAACAGTATTTCTTAAAGTCTTTTGGGTTGTGTTTGAAGTTTTAATATTTCATCTTCTTTATTTCCCTTTTATGCATAGGTGAGTTGTACATTGAGAAAAAGGTGATTGTATTTCAGGACCTGAGTATTATGAAGGAATTCAAGAAAAAGGTAGCTGTTTATCCTGTAGCTTCTATGTACACACAACAAATTAAACCCCACAAATAAAACCCTTCACATAAACATTTGTATGACCTCAAAAGGGGAGAAGAGACTAAGGCAGGTTACAGCTACACTAGCTTCTCAGCTTCTTCAATTAGCAACATCAACTTATTAAGCCTACGTGAAGGGGTACATTACATAAAAATATATTTATAGCATAAATACACGAAGATGAAGTTTAGTACTTTTTATGTAAGACTTATTTTGCAATAAGGTAGAAAGTTAGATATTCAGTTTATCATGTAAAGTAACAATCCTGGACAATATGAGAACTGTCATTATTATAAATGAGTCTTCTGAAATAAAGACTGAGTCCCAGCACACTTCGTTATGAGCCAACATGCACGAAGCCAAGATGCGATTTCCCATTTTCAAGAAAATTACTTTTAAACCCCACATTTGGTGACCTTTATTAAGTCTCCACTAATGAAACTCTTAACTACAAATACAATGGAGTTGGAGGCCTGTCAAGACATATCATTCGTTTTTATTCCTCCTTTTATGCTCAATAATCCATCAGGGAATCTCCTTAGATGATGGCATCTCGTTATCTCTTTAAGCATGTCAGCATTTAATGTTAATTTTACTCACTGAAGACAACTTTCAGTAAAATTCCATTACTTGGAAACCTATAGGAAGAGGCACCTGAGTAGGTTTCAATTCACTTTCAGTAGTGCAAGCCAGCATCATTTTGGGAAACCACAGTTTCAAAAGTGCCTTAAATCCATTTAAGTACTTCTAGAATTCACACTGAAAGGACATGCAAGTCCTTTAATGTATCAATAATTCATGTAATTACCAATATTAAAACTCATCATGCAGTTATTTTTCTAGCAAAAATACATATCAAAACATTCTTACTCTGATCCAGAGGAACCACTTTAGCAGAAAATAAATCTTTTGGCGAAGTTATTCTAAATAAGCCTTTCCAAGCACTGCTGACTTTTCTAACCTCTGCAGCATCAGCAGGAGGTGTTGGAAGGAAAACAGAAGCAACTTCATGTTTTTTTTCAGAAATTACTAGTACTGGTTTCTGTGACAAAAATAAAGAAGACTTTTAAACAAAAGCACAGATAATTTAATTTTCATTTAAGTAAAATTTGAAAAAAAAAAAAAGAAACCCACATAATTTCTAACAAAGGGCTAAGTTCAAAACAGAACAGAAGTTTGGCTTGCTCATTAAGAAATTTTCATATCCTGAATATAATGATACCATTACACCAAACAAACCAGATGTCTATACCATTACCACCACAAAAAGCCATTTAAAATCAACATGCAGGAGTGCAGAAAACAAAACTAGTTTGAGTAGAACAACTCAGAATTATTTATTCTTCATACTCATTTACCTACATCTGCAGTAAGCTTATTTATCTAAATAAATAATGTGCCAATGACTATTGCTAACAATTCTAGAGATACAGCTATTCTTTGATTTGCCTTTGAGCATTAAAACAGTATTTCCAAAATACTCCAAATATGTTCACATCGTATCTACTACTTTCTATCACACTGAGACAAATAATGCAGATCCAGAAACATCCAAGTCCCAGGTTTATGTCAGTATCTTGCATCTTAAAGGAGGTGAACAAGCCCCTTAATCTCTATGACCAAGCACTTGTTGTGCCCTTGCCCTACATAAAAGCACTGACCTCTAAAATCAATACCAATTTCCTTAAAATAAAGAATCCACTAGAAAGTCTCCAGCCGATCCTTCAGAATTCTCCACAGTATTAGAAAAGCCAACAGGTAAGATTGACTACCCACAACCATCATGATTAATACAAGCTCTTAATTTACAGGGTACTAATTTATACCCATTGATAAAGCAAAAAAATGCAGGTCTTGCATTGATCAGTAGTTTTCTTTAATTCTTTTCCACACTCACACAAACAAAAAATTGACACCAGTTCTTAAATACAAATGTATATATATTTAATCTAAATAAAAGTATGCTCAGAATATTTAAACTTGATTCATATAAATACATTACCTTGTCCAAATTAGTGAAGTAAAAAATTCCTTAGATATTTCCCCTAATTTCCTAAAAAATTTCCTAAAGGTTACTGTCTGGAAAAAGCAATGTATACAGCAAGCACATTTAATGGTTATAGCATGCTCTGTTATCTAAGCAAACGGTCGTGACTTAATCTTATATTTGAAGACAAAATATAAAAAAAAAAAACTGTGAAAAAGCAGATACACTTATAAATTGAAAACAATTCACAGCTTTAGCAGAGGGATAAAAAAGGGTTCTTAAAGGACTTATATCTGTTTTGAAGTAATCTACAATCATGACATTTTATAGAAATGTAAGCGAAATAGAAAGCAACCACTTAATTACCTTCAAGTTACTGATCACAGAACCACAAAATAGATGAGATTGGAAGAGACCTCTGGAAGTCCAAGCCCCATATTCAACTATAGCCACCTAAACTCAGCTGCCTAGGACCATGCCCATGAAACTTTTGAAGATCTTTGGGAAACCTGTGCCAAGGCCTTGTCACCCTCACAGCCAGAAAACTGTTTCCTGAAGTTCAGAGTAAACCTCCTGTGTCCCAGTTTGTGCCCTCTGCCTCTGGTCCAGTCAGCTCAAAAAGGCTGGCCCCATCCTCTTTGCACCTGCCTTTCAGGTATTTACATCCAAGGATAAGATCCTCCCTTCTCCAGGCTGAACATTCTCATTTCTTCCTAGTCCATCACCTTTGGGGCTGTTCATCAGATTCTCTCCAGTAGCTCCATGTCCTTCTTGTACTGTGGAGCCCAGGACTTCATACAGCACTCAAGGTGCACCCTTACCGATGTTGAATAGAGGGGAAGGATCATTTCCACAACCTCCTGGCAACACTCCTCCTAATGCAGCCCCAGATACCATCAGCCACTTTCTTAACAGCAAGGGCACATTGTTGGCACATGTTCATGCTCATGAACTTCATCTATTTTAGTAAACTTACACGAGAAAGCTGACTCAACTATCCATCTTCTGATTCGTGTTAATGTCACTTTGAATCATAAAGCAATACAAAAATATTTTAAGTAATTTAAATTATTTTCAGGTTTCTTTTGGGGAAAAAATGATAAAATTGACTTTATAAGTCTCAAATTAATGTTACAACACACCTCCATTTTTTCCAAATGTCTTTAAACCATTTATTTTCCTAACACTACCAAGACACATATTTCTATATCAGCACTGCATGAGTTATTTCCAGAGTACTTACATGAGCCAGTGGGCTTAGACGAACACCAGAATGTGGTCTTGATTCAGACGAGTCAGAACTGAATGTATCAAGACTAACAAAGAAATGAAACATAGTTAGCATAAAGCAGACCCAGAGCTGTGTGATCAGTTGTTTTATTTTAATTCCATGCTTCTTCCCTTTGCCAGTGAATACAGTGAAAGGGAAGAAAGGAAAAGTGACAAAAGCACTTCATAATTCACCTAGAAATTATTTTGAGGTAGTAAAAACTTTATTTGAAAATGAGCATTTCAAACTGCAGGACCTAAAATTTTTGATTTAAAAGGTCTCAGAAGGTTCTGAAAAAAGATCTAGCACATAGGTTATAGGAAACAAGCAAGCTTTCACATTTTCTAGGAAAAAAGCTGAAGACTATCTCAAAAGCATTCAATTGTCTCAAGAAAAGGTAAGTAACAGACTATTTTCTTATACTATTCTCCACATAGAAAACCAGTGTAATGTCTGCCTCTGGTAGCTCTAATCCACAGGAACCTTTCTCGACATGTAGATTAACACCAACAGTAAAGATCATTAGAAGGCAAAGGATGTGATTAAGAATACAGATTAACACAGGGAAAATAATCACCGGAAGCATAATTACAGAATCAAATCTCTTGCTGCTAAAGGATATTTGAAAAAATCTTAAAGCCAAAGTACCTAAAAACTGAAGGGGGTCTATTTTGAGGACATAGTGAGGACTGGGACCCAAGAAGTTTCCTTTGTTCATCTGTAGGTGTGAATGGTCTTCGAGTTTTTACTGTTCGTAGAGCATCTCTGGCTTCATTTACAAGAGCATCTCTGGCTTCATTTACAATCTCAGAACTTGTCTTAGGCTTTGCTGCTGACAGCCAGTAGAATGGTCCTGCTTTTCCTCTATTTTCAGTCTTTGAAGCTTGCATTCCTCTACAAAGTGCTGCACAGGAAGAACAGTGGAAAATATATGTGAAAGGCACAAAGTATTATGCCAGTTTTAAATTACAAACTATTAATTCATCACTGGTTTTGCTACCATAATATAGTTTAAAAGGGTAAGTAAATCCTAGACAGTGCTGAAATAGTGGGAAATAAGGTACACTGATATTGCATTTCCTCTCTATTCCTCAGTTCTGCAGGAAAATATGCAAAACCAAAAAGCATCTGACAGGTATGATCTGGAGGATCTACCTTCAGTTTTTTTACAGGAAGCTACTGTGACACGGGAAGTCACTGTGCTTCATGGGCCAAAAATGGTCCTCTACAATTCCACAGAAAATCTGTTTCTTGACACACAATTACATAGGAAACATCAAAGCCAAAACAATAATTCAATAATATGCTGCAAAGAGACAGGTTTTTCCAACTTAGGAAAAACCCAATATATATTATTGACCTTACCAAGGGCAGCTTCCTAATATGTCAGAGGCATCATTATCAGTAACTGAAGCACAGTTATCAGCAACTGATAACTTGTCTCTGATAAGCAGAGACAAGGAAGAACAAGCAATCCATTTTTTTCTCTGAAAGAAACTACTCCCCGACCCACCCCAAAGGACAAGCAAAGAGAGATAACACTAATATAAGTTATAAACCCAAACTTCCAATCAGTATTCTGTCCTGCTGTAGTTTCCAGTAAATGCAGTGGGCAGTGACAGACTTGCTCCATCGCCTCCTGGACCCACAACCCATCACTATCACGGTGCAGTCCTCTGTATCCTTGTCATTTTACAGCAAACTCATCATCAGTCTTACACTATGCAAAATTCCTCTTCTGCTTTCAAACTTACATAAAAACAAAAATATGTTTCTGCACTGTGACTCAGACCATCTGGTAACTTCTATTCCCTCACACAGTTTATGACAATGAACTGACAGTAGATCAGACACCATCATCTGGGTTACTTCTAAACTATGGAGTACAAAAAAATCTTATATCCTTAGTTTCTTAGTTCAATTCTTCCTGTTTTGCACTTTAACCTTTCTAGCTGCTTCTTTCTTTGAGAACCTGCACATTTTGGCACAGTATCTTCCATTGTAGCACACGCAACATAAAACTGAATACTAAGGAGAAGTGCACCAACCTCTTTCACTAAATGATGCATAATTAAAAAAAACCTCAGGAACAGATCAGGAGCCTATCAGTGTTTTTAATATTTCCGACTACCATTAATATATTACTTGTCTTCACTGTGACTGAATTTTGTTCTCTATGTTCCTTACTTTTCCCTCTATTACAATGTGATCTAAAAAAAGTAAGGAGTTCCATTGCAGCTGTCTGGAAAAATTATACAGTCAGTCCTCACTGAAAAAAAGAAGGTGGACTATCATTCCCCATTCCCCCAGCTACTGGGAGCCAGAATTTTGACCTTAAGAGGAAGGTCTTCTCTGTAGGCCTTATGTCTGATAGAATTGGGAATGGTCCTGTGCAGGGCCAGGACCTGGACTTCATGATCCTTGTGAGTCCCTTCCAACTCAGTGTATTCTGCTATTCTCTAATTTTGCTCCCCAGACCCAGCAGAAAACAGAAGGAATGCTGCAGTGTCAATGGGGACAGCACAACTGGTACACCCAGATCTTGTTCCTCACGACTGTCACCATTTCCCAAGTAGCCTTTAACTTGCACATGTGAAGAGCTCCTCTCTGACTCTCTGCTGGAAAGGCAGGTGAGTATCACAGCAGTGTCTGAAAAGCCATTCTTGGACTCTTTTCTTTATTCCCCAGTTGTTTACTCCAGAAGTCTGGTCTTTGCTGTACAGGAAGATTTTAAAGCAGTAGATAGCAGTACAGTATCCACACATTAATCCCAGCAATGTCCAGAAGTGAGACAGCTGTACTCTCCCAGCTCTTAGTTCAATCAAGATGAGAGAAGCATGGTTGACTACATCAGATGTGGCATCACTCTGGCTCTGCCATCTCACACTGGCTCTGCCATTCTCTTTCCCACCTCAAGGATAGTGTCATTTAATTGTTAGGATGCAGAGTGGGTGTGTTTGCAATCACTAAGTACAGTGAGGAGAAGCCCTGTGCTTAAGCTATGAGCACTATGCTCTCTGACATCTGAACCTATGTTCTGTCTGCCCTACAAATCTCTAGAATAGCTAGCACACAGGTACAGGTTTAGTAAGAATCCCAGAATCATCAAGGTTGGAAGAGACGTTTAAGATAATCAAGTCCAACCCTGCACTGCCCCTGCAACCCCTAAACAACATCAACCAGTGCCAGATCCAGATGCCTCCTAAACATGTCCAAAGCTGGTGACTCCATCGCCTTCCCGGCCAACCCATTCCAGTGCATGGCCATGCTCACAGTGAATTTTTGTTCATCTAATATCTAATCTGCAACTCCCCTGTCCCAGCTTAAGGCCACTTACTCTTCTCGCTGCAGGCATGGTAGAAGAGATGGGCCCGCACCTCACAACAACTTCCTTACAGGAATATGCAAATAATAGCTATTATTAGACATAATTCTGAACACCAGCAACTTACCAATCACAACTGATGCACTTTCACCCTGGTGAAATTTTGACGCAGAGAAATCGCTATCAAAGAGAAACAAGAACGGAGTTACGAGAGTTGAGTTCTCAGCGGAGTGAGGTTTCCAGCGCATCCGTGGGACAACACGTCCAAGAACCCCCCCAAATAAACAGCACCTGTGGAGTAAACGCTGTTCCCAACCCACACTCGGCAATCAAGCTTCTCTCCCGAGCACGGGAAAGCTGCCGGGAACCCGAACAGGGGTTATCAGTCTCCGGCCGCTATTCAAAGCCTCCCGCCCGACTTACCCCGCAGTCCGGCCTTTCGCTCCCGCCCGGCCGGGCGGCACCCCCAGGGACGAGCACTACGGCCGGGGGGGCA